TATACGCCGAAAGAATGTGGTCCTTTCACGAAAAGCCTCGGCAGATTGTGTGACTAGGATCTACATAAAAAGACGAATTTCACTACAATATTATATGTGGAATTAAAAAAAAATACTTATTTGTGTAAGATGTAGATTTCTTGGTATAATTTACGTTAATTTAAATATAAATTAAAACCATTTGGTAAATTTAAATTAGAGGTATTTCTAGTCAATTTTACGTAATAATTACCTCAATAAGTAAATTCGAATTTTATTTACCAAGTTGAGTTATAGCTAATATTATAGAAAATGATGCTCTATGAATAAATATAAATTACTTTTAAACCATCACGATACAGATCTACTTTAAAACGTTTTTAACATTAATATCAAATTCTAATTATATAACAAACAATCTTCAAGCATTTTTTAAACATGTTAAATTATTTTCCTCACTGTATATGTCTAACCATATCTTTGTATACACACGTAGTAGTGAATTCCCTGCTTGTTTACATGAACCCAGTGGGAATGCTGCGATGTATGCACACAGGTAATTATCAGTGGATTCTCTGGGTAAACCTGACCCTACGGAAATGAAATGCATCATAACAATACTAATTGATCCAGTAGGAGGATCCTGGACAGACAAGTTTTAAAGGAATTAAATAAGCATTATTTTCAAGTGTTATAAATCATTTTTAAAATAATTTAGAATTGTTCAATGGCTTTTTGTATAAAATAGAAGAAGCGATTAACCTTCCATTTTAAAATAAACCAAATTTTAACAAATGTTTGTTTATTTCTTATATCTCATTCTTTTCCTTTTATTTATTTTTCTGTCTATTATAGATATTCATAGCCGGTGAAGCTGACATATTTATTGATTATTAGATATTAGATATCAGTACGGGATGCATTTTATGCTAACACATAAACATTGAACAAAGCAGATAAACTGTCGATTTTCTGATAATAATTTGCAAATATATGTCAATAGACAGTAATAAACTAGACCCGTATATCTCTAAGTAAACATTGAAATTTTATGGGTTGTATTGTGTGGAAAATTTCTTTTATACCGATAAATAGATGGAAGTCGAATGCAGCAGAACTAACTTTCGATTCTCTGCTACTTATTTCTGACATTTATTTATATCAGAGTCAGAATTTTCTTTCAGTTTTTGAAATTATCGAATTTAATTGTAAACTAGTCAAGTTTTCCTACTATTCAAAGTTTTCCAACTATTTAAAGTTTTCCAGTCTTTATTTTTCAAAATTACCCACTAAGGTCATATACACAGTAAAGAGAAAAAACTCAGTTCGTTCCAGTTTTTAGAGGTGAGAGACGTAATCCAAAGTTAAGCACTTTACGAACTGAGCTATGAAGGCGTATGTCAAGTTAATTATCTAATGGGCATTTTTTTCAACGCCTTTTGTAAGAAACCGTCACCATCCACCGCTGATGCGCCTATAGCAATGTATTTCCATTTTCTATAAATTTGTAAATTAGCCTTTCGCAAATATGTACCAAAAAATAGTCACCAACTCCCCTACCATTAAGGTTTACACGAACACGTATCTCCCCTGCATCTTACTGGAACCCGTCGGCGAATTGCAAAAATAGAACCTACCTCAAGTAAGTCGACTGAAAGGCCATTGGGAAAAGAAATGTCAGACTGTAGTGGTCACAGTGGATTCGTTATATCTCTCAAACTAACTCATAGCTGTCTTGCACCTCACCCGGGTTAATAACGTAGTGTTTACTTATCACAGAGTTCGTGCTTCTAGAACAAATACGAGAAACATGTGAATTCCAAAAATATAAAGAAGTTTGCATTCTTCTATTTTGTTTGAACAACTTTTATAAGGACATATAAAAGTGTTTTTAATGCAAACCGATTTTTCTGCCTCTATATCATTGCGATAGCTATAATGAAATTTAAATTATGTAAAATGAGAACATTTTTGTAGCATATGTAAACAAATGAAAAAATTATCAATTTGAGAACATTAAGAGTAGGTTCTTACAATTAAAAATGATGATGAGCTTAACATTCGTAACAGGGCACAAACTCCTTCAGATGAATTAAATGATCAAAGAGGTCTTTGTAGTAACATACGATAAACATATTAATCAGGTTGTCTCTTGTAACAATTGAGCAAGGACAACCGTATATTTTTTAATTTAGACGTAAGAGAGAACAATAAATTAAATAAAATAAAATTGGCGTCCAACGTGGGGCCAAATGATCAATTTTTGAAGCCAAGTCGATTTGTATGACAATTTTGACTCATTGAATACAAGTAGAATTAATGGATCTAAGAATTGGCCATACAAAATTAAGAAAACAAGAAAGTAGACAAAAATAGAGGCAATTCAAGAAAACTAGGAGATTTGGCTGAGAGCTTATTGACAAAAAATAATGTTAATGATAATGGACAATAGAAAAAGAACCGAAAAAGAAGAAAGAAAGAAATCAAATGCATGAGAAAAATAATGGCAAATTAAAACGCGAAGTTGAGCTTACAGAACTCCGACAAACTCAAAGTGCAGTTAGAAACATTGTAGTAAATCTCTACATAATTGTGCATTAGCAGTGTAGCATATTCCAAAGTTTTAAATTCAAACAAATTTCGCCTGCGAGCTGAATTTTATTCCACGGCAGGTAAACACTGCAATTTGTTACTGTAACTTGTACGTACAATCGTTTTGAATACGGTACGAGCTTTCAAGCACCATTAGTTTCGTGTACGATATAGACGAATAATATACTTTCAACGTGATTTTTTTTGTCGGATAAGACATCGTTAAAAATGTATATGAAAGTCTTTTTTCGTAGTGAATCAATCGTATTTTATAAACAATATTTAAATACATGTCGAGCAATATTTGAAGAATTGACAGAATATAAAAATAGGTATATTAGGTTATATAACGTGCTCATTACATTTTTAATCTAACTTCATTAATAATAAAAACTGACGTCGACTTTACATCTTATTAAGTGCCAAAACAGTAGTTTTCATCCTCACAAAGTAAAAGTCTTTTACCTGTATTAAAATCATTATTGAAGGCAGAATCAGTTCACGTATATTTATCATTATCAATAAAAACAAATTTTAACAACCAATTATTAATAATCATTTTAATTAATCTTTGTACGTTTAAATTTAAAGTTGTAATTGTATAATAATTGTAAAAATTAACTTCACTCAAGAATATTAAGTCCCTTACTGCAATAGTTTAATAATTAAAACACTGGGCAATTATTGAAGAAGCACCAGATTTGGGAAGTCCCAATTTCAAATTGCCTTTTAGTTAATTTCTAAAGAAATATTCCAAGTTAATGATTCACTAGAAGAAGTTGTTTTGGACTTTGAAACAAACGATGTAGAAGAAATAGCTAAAGAGATCAAGGATAATATTACTGCATATCAGAAAAATGGTTCATTAAACAGAAATGCACAAAATAACAATTTTACAAAGGATTGGTTATGGAGATAACACAAGGATACAAATGGAATATGTCTAGAATTTTCTGAAGAATCCAAAAATTGAAAAATATTCAGGGTGTTGCATATAAAATAAGAAAGTTGGTATTGGCCACTGTTAATGACACACCCTGTATAAAAAGTTTTTGTTAAAAAAAAATGTGTAATTAAAAATACCAGTCGACATGTCCGAGCGTTTTTGCGAACACCGCTCCGTTTATTTATTACCGAATTTATTCCATTTGGCTGTTACACACTGTATGTGTATTTATCATTTATTACCTCGTTCTGTATATATTTAACTATTATAGCGAAATTTTTTTCATCTTCAATCAGACTAACGCCTACTTATTCTTACATAATTAAAAATCCGATAATTAAGCATTAGCCAATCATTAACTAATAATTAACTCTCTTTCTGTTTTATGTCTATTTTCGTAATAAAAAAAAAAGAAACGAAACTGACACAACAAACATCAAATAAGATATTTCGTGAGTCTTAATTTTTAATAATCGCCGTAAAGTGATGACTAAAGTGGGTTGCCCCATTAGTAAAATGCCCACACACCGCGAAGAAAAAGTCAAAAGGTAGACGCGTAAAGTGGGGCATCGCGCGAGGGGTGGGGAGTGGAAGAGTACCTTTCGTTAATCGGAGGTCGACGACATTTCGAAACATATCTGTCCGAACGATCAACCAATATCAAAAAATATTCAGCACAGGATATTATTTTTTTTTTGTTATTGCGCAGATCCGTTTTAACCTAATTTTAAACGTTCCCGTTATTATTCAGATTAGTACGAAGATCCCGAAAATATTTTGTAAATACCGGTTATCTCAAGAAGGGAAAATTTGTACACGTACAATTCAAAGAAGGCCAAAGTACAACTATGATCAACTATCCCCCAGTTCCCCTACCTATTCCCTATATATAAATAACAGAATAGATGTAAAAAGATTGATTGCCGAGGTACCAAATGGATCAGTCCTTGGTCCAGGCCTTTTTATTATGTATGTTAAAGAATCATCAACAGCCAAATCTATCCTTTATGCTGATGATACAATTTTATACTAGTACTAGATGGTACAATCTCCCAAAATATTTACGTGTTTGTAATACCCAGTATACTCATCCAATTTTTTAATAAATAAAACTTTTCATATTTTTACTTAGTTCCTGTATAACTACTACTGTAGTTATAATAATTTTTAAGTTATATTTATAACAATGATAAGTGACTACGGTCCTGTCGTTTCACCAATTCTCCATCGTTTATGGTAGAGAGTAAAAACTTGATCAGTTTGCATTTTTTTTTTTTTCCAATCCTCAATTAAAATTATCTTGAATAATTGCGGTTGATCGAACAGATGTACATGTCTACCGAAAACGTTAATGTTACGTATTACCAAGCTGTACCACTGTACCATACGAGGAGAGCTTACAAACATTTATATTACACGAACATCTACTATTTTTTCTCGTTTTTTTTTTTATTAAGAAACTAATTCTAACATTTTCTTCCAGATCACGTATCAGAATTGGCCCGGCAATCAGAAAACAAAACGCTGCTTCTGTTTCTCCAAGTTTATCGAGGCATGGCGAGCCTTTCCCGAGAGCCAATCGAAGCGTTATATAGGGATATTAGAAACTACATATGGATTAACTCCACTGACGCCAAACCGTCAGTAAGTCCAGAAGAAATCGTTAACAGCGTTAACGTTTTCTTTACGGAATTATTTCCATTGGCATATCATCATTCCGCAGACATTCCGGATAAGGATTTCACCTTAAACTATAAGGAATGTTTGAAAAAGTCAATTGATAGCATATCACCCTTCGGAGATATCCCCAAGCAAATGGAACAGTCCTTATCCAAAAGTCTGGAAGCCACTAGGCTTCTTTTGCAGGCTTTCAGAATAGGATCTGAGGTGTTAAACACCACAGATACACTTTTAATCGACGAACATTCTAGTGATAATTCCGAATGTCACGATGCTTTGCTCAAAATGACTTACTGCCCTAAATGTCTAGGTTTGTACAAGCATGCAAAGCCTTGCAGCGGGTATTGTTTAAACGTTTTAAGGGGTTGCATAACTAAATATGTGGCTGAATTGGATTTGCCTTGGAACGGATATGTCGAAGGCATTGAAAGTTTGGTGAACGCCATGAAGAAGAGCAGTAATGATGCCGATATTAATGTTGATGCTGTTATCAGGAATTTGGATAATAAAATATCAACGGCGATCATGAGGTATATGGAAAAAGGAAAGGATATTGATATGAGGGTAAGTTTTAATTTTATACATTTTCACTGTCGATATTAAATAGAAAAAAGTATTTAAACTTTCAATATTTATTTTATATTGATTCTTCCAAAAAATTGTTCATACGAAGAGAAATAGTACAAAAAGTAAAGCCTTTTATTTTATCGTTATTTACGTTAATTTTTAACCGTATCTGTCTGGCGAAAAGTGAATTATGCACATGCATAATTTAATCGAGGATGATTTTATAACTATCGCTGTTTTCGGAGACACAACAAAAGCTTCTTCAAGGACTTCGCTTCATTGGCATTCCAAATAATCTACTCATCGTAACCTAAAACTAGATGGCTGTGCATGTTAGACATTCTTTTAAAGTTGGCTATGAAAACGAAACGTTTCCCGTTTGAAGAGATGAGTTTCTTGTGAAAGTGGCTACTTTGCCGCATCGACGGACAATTATAAGTTTAAACGAACTTACCTTCAGTGAAGTTCGATCCTGATTATACACTGCGCTCCCTTCAAAGATGATAAGTAAACGTATAACCTCACTGTCTATGTAGTTCTCGCATTTTGTAGGCGTGGCTCACTTTTTTTAAAGCTCTGTCGCAATTGAGATGATCTGGGATTCAGAGTGTTGGATTGGAAATCATCATCTTCGAAGGGAGAGCAGTGTCTAATCACTTAAAGTAAGTTCGTTTGATCTTGTATACACTGCACTCCCTTCTTCAAATGATAAGTAAACGTAGATGTTTAAAGACAGTTGTGACTATAAGAAACGAGGCAATTTTCAATAAACTTTTATAAAAATATTTACAAGTGTAACAAAAACAAACGAAAATTTAATCCACAATAAACTAAATTTGAATGGTTTTTGCAAAAGAGGTGGAATCCTGCCTTATAGGCAGAAGATTTCTTCTAGTTTCAGAATTAAGATAAGTGTCTAGATTAGACCCTAACTTAGTCTGTAAGGATTTTAACCTCATTTAAGAGCTGTATTGGGATTTGCTGCCTTACTCTCTGGGTTGAATTTGGGTGGCGCAAAAGGCAATTTAAAGATATATGGAAACAAGTCATGATTTGTAAATATATCTAGTCCTGAATGCAAGATGTCTAGTCATGAGGCAACTACTTCTTTTTGAATAAATTCATCAGTACTCCTTCATACTGAGTCCATTGAACAAAATTTTAAGGACATATTCCTTTAACAATGACCTTCCAGTTTCATTAAGAGGGTGGTATTCTTTTTAAAATCTCATCCATGATAAGTAACTTAATTTTAATAATAATGCAAAACACATCAATTAGCAAAAACGCAACTTTTATTTAAATTTTTTACATTTTTCATCATTACCGGTTGTTGTCCTCCCAGCTTTCCGGGAGCTTAGTCACTACCTATCTATTATGTCTGCAGCTATGTCGGTTGGTCTGATAGTTGAGCGCCTTTAACAGTGATATAGTGATATAACTATGATGTGCGCTTCGTTGTCGCTGTTAACGTGAATATATAACAGATGATGATCACTGGTGTTGGTAGTGATACCATAGTAAATATTTAATAAGAAAATCGTTGTTTTTTCTCGGAATATCTGTTCATAGAATGTATAGAATCAATGTTCATAAGAAATTTCGGGATATTATATTTTAAGCACTTTTAGGGTAAAAGAGAGAAAATATCTGATGATTTGCAAATAAGTAATTGGCAATTTCCTGTCGTATACGTTTACAAAAAAATATATGTGCTTACATTTTTTTGTCAGTCAGTACATCAATCATTATGCAGTTTTAATTATAGAAAACATCTTCCTATCATATCCTCCTTTAATTTTTTCTCCCCTCCGTCACTCTAACCAATACAATTTAAATAGGAAAATACCAAGTGTGACACATCATTAAAAAAGTTATTTTATGAAGAATTCAAAAATGCGATTGTTTATTGCATTACTTTTTATTTTAGCGCCCTCTATCTAGATAAAAATTTATCCAATAACATTTTTCTCACTAGTCTTTTCCCAGATATGTTTAAACTTGCAATAGTTATCCTTTAACTAAAATAATGACGGAGCAGTGGGAAAGACGTATTACAGTTAAGGATATGATATAAAGATCCGTTAAGTCGTCAACCTTCTTATACTAAAACCAATATCGGCTCGGATAGACCTATTAATCGCGTCATATCTCTATTCGATCCCTTCAGGATTTCACGAGGATTTTCAGCTTCTGAAATTCGTCAATTCTGTTTGTATACATAACTACTCATTCATGAAAGACTTCTCGTGGCTTAAAATGATTTCGTTGCCAAACGTATTTTAAGTTCGTTCGAAAGCTTTAGAAGTTGTCCAATGACAAATCTTCGTAAGCACGTGTTTTAAGCCACCGTTTAAATTGAAAAGCTTAGGTAATTAAAATGTGGCAACGAACCAGCGCGCTGCCAGCGTAAGCTTGTATAAAGTATCTAGTCTCAATTTCGTAAATTATTTGAAGGTGGCTTAAAAGTTGTAAGTTCCCTTCTTGTTGCAGAAATAATTAGTTAGTATGCAAAAATAACGGCAAATGCAAATATAAATTTCAGATAGCATATTATTTAATTAGTAAGCGACTGGCAGAAATAATATTATTGTAACGGATTTGAAATTATTTCGAGTATTTAAGTTAATTAATTGTAACTGCTGTAATTACTAGAAAATTCGTTATTTGCATTACAAAATATTACGAATTATTAAATTCCTCTTGTAATTAGTGGTTCATTAAATATTTCGTTAGTGCAAATTCAATTAATAAAATAGTATATTGTGGAACAAGTTTGGAATAGAACAATGTGAGTGATAAAAAAATCGCGAGCAACGATTTTTCATGCCACAACCGAAAGGCAAATTATACTTTCTTACTACCAATAAAAAATTTATAAAAAATACTACAATAAAATATTATGAGATAAATATTGCGGTAAAAATATTACGGTAAAAATATTACGGTAAAAATATTACGGTAAAAATATTACGGTAAAAATGTTACGGTAAAAATGTTACGGTAAAAATATTACGGTAAAAATATTACTGTAAATATATTACGGTAAAAATATTACGTTAAAAGTATTAAATTAAAAATATTATAGTAAAAATGTTACCGTAAAAATATTACGCTAAAATATTAGGGTATAAATATTACGGTAATATTAAGAAAAAAATGTTACAGTAAAAATAAGACGGTAAAATATTACTGTAAAAATATTACGGTAAAAATAATTCAGTAAAAATATTACAGTCAAATTATTACGGTAAAAATATTACTGAAAAAAAGTTACGGTAAAAATATTAGAGTAAAAATATTACTGAAAAAATGTCACGGTAAAAATATTAATGTAAAACATTACGGTAAACATTATCGGTAAAAATATTACGGTAAAAATATAACGGAAAAAATATTACAGTAAAAATATTACGGTAAAAATATTACAGTAACAATATTACAGTAAAAAATTTTATTACAGTAAAAATATTACTACTGGAAGATTTGAACAAACTGCGCAAACTATTTATGATGCAAACATTCACCAATAGTATGTATATTGGAGTCTTTAAGCAGATTTCTTTTATTTTTACTTCATCTAAATGGCGTATGTTAAGGTGTTATCACTTAGGATCATCAGGATTTAGGCTTGGTGGTAAAAAAAGCCTTCAATATTTATTATGCTTCCTACAAAGTCATTCAATTCGTCTAGCAGTCACTCACGACATTGGAGGCTTTGAGAGATTCGTTATATTTTAAGTCTTCAGTTGGTGATTGTTTCTCTCTATGTCATCATTAAGATAGTTATAGTTTGTGTGATATAATGGAGTAAACACATTAGAAATAATCTAGATTAAGAAAAAATAATTAAAATTAAAAGAAAAAAAGATTACTAAAGAAAGTAACTAAAGCAAATACACAAAAGAGAAAAAACAACGGCAAATAAAGACAAAAGGTACAGCAAATTATGAGATTAATGAATTTTATAGGAAGAACCCCATAGACCGCAAGTATTCATACACGAAAAAAATATAAAATTTCTTAATTTGTATTAAATAAAAACATTTTTTCTAGAATAGTTGATCAGCTTGTTCGTCCTCGGTGTTAAAATATACCACCAAAATAAAAAAAAACTAGAGCCAGTCTGTGACTCAGTCCGAGTTTTATCATACGATGCGATTGTTCGATCTGATTGTGAATCGATTTATAGCTACGCGGGGGCGCTGGAATTCTTTTTAAATTTAACCGTGATAATTTTAATCACCTTCGGTGGCGCTGATGCCAGAAAAAATTGTACGCCAAATAGGATGACTTTGATTATTACTGAATTGCACGGATGGGCCAAATTCGAATCAAATCAATTTGGTTAGTTTCTTTGAGGAGAAAAACGAGATTAGAATGGTTTTGAAATATAAATTTATTTATAAGTATTCCATAATTATTCTAACTTTCCCAATTGTCCTTGTATCAAGTTCAGACTTATTTCCTTCAAAGAAAATCATGGACAGTTTTCTATAAAGTTTTCAAACAAACAAGACAATGTAAACAGAAACTTTGAACGATGTGTATAAAATAAAATAATGTTACTATTGTAACAGCAATTCATGCATTCAATAAGGTCATATTTTTACTGCAATATGCCGTAGCTTTCTCAATTATTAAACTTTTCCTATTTCTTTAAAAGAGTTTTCAAAATGCTGAAGCAATTTATATATCAAACGACTTGATGGAAAAGGCTTTATTTAAAGACGAACTTCAAAGGTTTATATTTTGTTTCTCAAATATAATAAAAATCCAGCTTCAATAGTTAGAAATACCATAAATTCATATTATTGAGATAATTATATAAATTTGTTATTGATGTTACTGCACACACAGTCTGTCCCTTTTAAAATGTTTTACACTCTTTTATGAGATAATGAAGCACGGTTATCAAAAATTCTTTTAAGGACAGCGTCTCCTAGGAATTTCTGAACAAAATTATGTCACTTTAGATTCAATCAAGGAGGTGCTGT